ACATTTGCTGTATGATCAGAAAGAAAGTTTGGTGGCCCTGTCTTACTTTGAGTTAGAAATGGCTGAAGGAAGGAGATTTTGGAGAGTGTGTATATGCTTACAAAATTGTGAATTATTATTTACAGTTTATCAAGTCATGAAAATGAACTGCTACATAGGATTTGAGTGTAAGTCAGACCCAGCTGTTGGATTAAAAACTGTGCATTACCCTTAGTGAAAATGAGGTCATGCAGTCTTTTTTGAATTCCACTGTGTGCATGTGCTTACAGTATTTAGGCTTAATTATGGTTGGATAAGCCAAGTAAAATGCTCTGTTTGTCCGGAAAAACTGTAGTACAAAAATTTCAAGAAGCTAGGGTCAAGTTCAGGTTACTTTCCCAGGATACCTGATATAATTCCAGGTGAAATAGATTAAATGAGTGACTCCTCTAACAGAGGTTATCTGTATCCACCTGCATAGAAAAGATTTTGATTTTTGTTTACCCAAATTAAGTTTTAATGTAATGTAATTAATTTTTAATATAATGTAAATGTCTATGAGACCTACAGTGTCAGCTTGACCAAAGGGGTTGAGGTGGATTCTGTCCACAGGTTTGGAAAAAGAAGGTTCAAAAGGTGTGAATTCTTTCCTTTCTACCAGCAAAAGTTGTCAGACCCTCAGTTTCCTTACCTATCACTTGTTATACAGCCGATTTTTCATAAAACTAACTGATTTACTTCCTTATATAAATAAAACATGCACCTTATAGAAAATTTAGAAAAATGCATAATTCCTACTACCCTGTCCTCCCCAAAAAGGGAAATAATAATTACCTTTGGAGATTATCACTGTTATCTACTGTTAACTATATTGCTTTTCTAAAAATTTATTTTATTTTTTAATTAATTAATTTTATTGGTATATTTTAGATATATTTTTATTGGTATATTTTAGATGATCACATGCATCATGGAGAATTTGTAGCTATACATGACATATCTTGAATCTTCTATTTTTCCCATTCCCCTGCCCTCCCTTTAACCCCTTTCCCCCTTTTTCTTTATGAAAGTTTTGTTTCCATTTTTTTCTTTTTCCTTCTTTTCTTTTCCCCTTCCTAGTTCCCCTTTCCTGAACATTTTCTTCCCCTGAACAATATCTATTATACATTTTGATCTTTATTTACACTTCCAGTTTCTTACACCAGAGAAACAATGTGATATTTACATGAGTGTCTGATTTGTTTCACACAAGAGTATGGTCTCAAGTTGCATCTGTTTACCTAGAATTGTCTCAAGTTTATCTTTCTTTATAGCAGAGTAGTCCTCCATGGTATTAAAAAACCCACATCTTTTCCGTTTATAAATTGATGGGCATTTTGGCTATTTCCAAGACTCAGCTATTATAAACTGCCTTCCCTCCCTGCTTTCAGCAGGGTTTACAGGGAAGCAGTGAGCTGCAAGGACTCTGGAATCAGAGTGCCAGACTTGAGTCTCCTTTAGGTTCCTGTATGTTTTATCTGTTTCTATGTTTGGCAAGTTACTGCCTGTGCCTTGTTTTCCTTGTCTAAATAGAGTGTTACCTACTTTATAAAGGTCAGAATGAGTGGATGCAAGTAGCGTGGATACTACAGTTGCTGGAGTGTAAAACTTGCTCAGTAAATCTTATTCATAACAAAAAAATTTACTGGGCCTCTGGTGTGTGCCCCATGCTCGGCTCTGTATTAGGAGTAGTGGGGTGCCGTGATAGTAGCGGTGATAACAGCCAACATTTCTTTAATGCTTGCTCTGTTCCAGACTTGATACATGCTCCTTATTCCTTTGACAGCCATATAAGATAAGTGGAATTACGGTCCCAGGAGACTGAGATAATAACGGATGTCTAATAAGTTTGCTCTCTGACTTCATGATCTAGTAGGGGAAACAGACACACAAAATGGATGATTGAAGTGTACAATTATATTCACAAATGCTTGCTCAGTAAATGTTAGCTCCCGTCCCCTCTTTTCTTTTTCTTTTTGTCCCAAGAAGCTGGCATTATCTTTGCAATCTGAAAATAAGCTGGTTCGTAGCATTGGTGTGATTTTGTATGAAATTTTCCTGTTCACTCCTGACATGCTTTTGCCTTGTATAGGTCTTTCATGGTTACCAACCCCACAAGTCGTGGAGCTGGGAAGAAGTTTGTTCTCCTGCCTGCACACTGTCCATTGACGTGTGGGGCTTGTTAGCAGGAGGTATTACTGAGTTGTGAGGCTAGTGCTATCTGTTTGGGAGAAGACTTCTCATTCTGAAAAAAATCTGTTCTTTTCTATCTTTAAGCTTGGCAAATGTGCTTTTTTCTGCAATCTCACACTGTCCTTGAAGGTGTAGGGTGGCACAGGAAGCACTGTGATTTGATTTGTGCCTCTCAGTGTTCTTTTTAATTACTATATAACAAGAAAAGGGGGCCTGAGAAGATGGCCCATCATGGACCATAAAAGACTTTAAGTCCTGGGGTTAAAATTAATGTAGAAGAGCCGGGGATAGAGCTCAGTGGCATAGTACCTGCCTGGCAAGCGCAAGGCTGTGACTTTGAGTCCTGGTACCCGCTCCCAAAAATAAATATATAAATAAAATTAATGTAGAAGATGGAAGCCCACCCTGAAACTCATGGGGAAACTTGGGGGAAGCCCAGATGCTTCTGTGAGCAGAGCTTCTGAGCACAGCCTCCGAGATCAGCCACGTTATCCCTCGCCTTGTGGAGAGTGTGCAGCAGATGCTTAGGAGATGGAAAGGGGCTGTGGCCTTTGTATCTGCATCAAAGGCCCTGGTAGCTAATGTGTGGTCCTTGGGCCCTTGTGACAGTAACCTCTTTTAGTGAAAAAATAGATTTTAAGGTTTAGCCAGCCTTCAGGAAGCACTTACTCAGTAACAAGTCTGTGTGCTTTTGGGTTCATGACTGGTAGGAGTTCCTGTCACCTGGGGTGAAATCTGAGTGGTGTGAATGGGACTCAGGGACTCACTTTACTCTTGTGATGCGCTGAACCTGCTGGTCTGCATGGTATGGCATATATATTTATATGCACATTTCAGTGTGAACAAGGCCCAGATTCATCAAAATGCAAAAACATTTTAGTCTTAAGAGATGACCAAGTAGTGATGCAATAGGTTTGTGGGGGATGGTTTAATCTTCCCAACAGACAACATACCTTTCTGAAATCTGAGGACAGGTAGAAGGTAAATCCAGCTGATTCTTTGAGCTGATTTTTCTCCATGCCTGGGGAATGCAGATGTCAGTTACTTTATAGTCAAATAGAAGGGGTTCTGAGACTGAAGGCTGAAGGAAACCTGCTTGGAATGCTCTGTGCTAGTTACCAAGCAAGGCCTGAGATGAGTTACTGTAGTTGGATCTGCTAGGTTTATTCTGTGACCATCTTTACAAAGGTCTTTATAAAGGTGAGAGCCAGATTTTCTTTAATCATTTGGCATTTAGCTGCTATCATCTGGCATTTAGAGACATCCTGCCTGTGTGAAATACTTAGAAAATGGGAGCTGACAGGGCCCCAAAATATCCCAGCAAATATACTTACAAGGAAAGTAGAAGGCCATGTGACCTTCTGGGAAAAACGGGTAGTACTGAGTGCTTTGGTTATGGATGGCCAGGAGTTATGGAGGGTAACAGATGAACTGTCGCTGATCAGAAGCAGCAGGGCCTGCAGAGGACTCTGCTCGGATACGGACACCGGCGGTGTTTGTGTAGCTGTTCTTCTTACACCTCACCTCCATTTCCCACATGGGAGACTGCAGGTGGAAGAAGTCAACAAGAAACCCAGTTTCTGCATCTCTGCAGAAGAGGCAGCTGTGGTTGGAGAGCTAGACATCAAGTCTGTATTCGCTGTTTATACATGTACTTGTAAAAGTTGTCATCAGAAACCCTTGGCCTAGGTTGAAAAAATACAGGGATTCTTAGGAAGCAAGTTAAAATAGTGAAAAGGGTATTTCTAGGGAGGGGAGACAGGTGATGGAAATTCATTCTTTCAAATACAAGGAAAAAGACCAGGAATTTGAGCTATCAAGTAGCACCTCTGTGTGTTTTTCCTAATGTTGCTAAAATTGGAGTTGACCTTCAGACTTCCTCAAATGAAACAAAACACAAATCAGTTTTTCTCCCAGACTTTCCCATTTTTCTTAATTGGTGTGCATATCCATTTACACAGAGTCCAAAATCTAAGAGTATTTTGGTGTTTCCTAAACCACCTTCCTCCCTATCCCAGACCCTCGACTGTTTCTCTTCTTGTCTTGACCTGTGAGCCCTTGTCAGTCTCAGCTAGGCCTCCTTGCTGGGCCCTGTCTGCCTGTCTGTTCTTGCCTAGCCATGGCCTCTGCACACTGCTCCTGGCACAGGCAGATCCTCCGCTGGACTATGTACTCTGAGGGGAGTCTGGCCTTGGCTCATGAAGGTGCCTGTCCATCCCTGTGTCCTGTCCTGCACTGCTGGTTACTGCATGCGCTTTGCTTCGGCTTGCTTCCTTCTCCTTGCCCATGCCAGAGTGATTCTGGCCGTGGGCCCTGTGCCCTAGCTGATCCCCTACCTGGAGTACGCCTTCCCTCTGCTTCTTTACCCTTTCATCTAAAGCCCTGACTCCTTGTCTGTCACTTAGACCTCAGCTCTCCAAGACTCTTTCCCTGACCTCTAAATCGGTAGCTACTCAGTCATTCTATTCCTTGGAGAATGTGCATTTCACTTTGATACTTTGCTTTGCGTTATTGTTTGCTGGTTTGCCTGTCTCCTTCTAGAATATCAGCTTCTGAGAGCGGGGACCTGGGCTTCGTTGCTTGCTGTCTCGCCAGTAGCCAGCAGGGACCATAGTAAAGTTCTGTGGAATGAGTGACCAAACCTGCTGCTCAGCTGATGACTGAGAAGCTCATTGGTGACCTCTTACCGTGGAAGTCACTGACAATGCATACGTATGTTGGTGGGGCTTCCTTCCTCCCGCCCAGTACTCCCACTGTGGTCTGACTGCCGGTCTTCTGTTTCCTTGCAGCCGCCCATGCCAACTTCCGTTCCCGTCGGCAGTGCAGCCGCACAGCCCCATGTCCTCGCAGACCTCCTCCGTCAGTGGGCCGCTGCACTCCGTCTCCTTGCCACTTCCACTTCCAGGGAACCTGACGCCTCAACAGCCCCCTCCTGCTCCCTCCCCTAGCCAGCAGCTTGGTCCGGATGCCTTTGCGATTGTAGAGCGAGCCCAGCAAATGGTGGAGATACTAACAGAGGAGAACCGGGCGCTTCACCAGGAACTGCAGGGCTACTACGACAATGCCGACAAGCTCCACAAGGTATATGACTACTGGTGCAAGGGATGGAGAAGCTGCTCTGGAAGGAATGCATTCTTTATCTGCTCTTGGTGCGTAGGTCCACTGACTCCCTTGCCAGTGTTTAAAGAGGTCCCTTTTCATGCCAAGCAGTGTAAGGGTTTGGAGGGACAGGAGTCAGTTACAACCTAGGACCTACATTGGAGGGGTTTGCGTCCAAAAGAGGAGAAAGTTGTGTAAGCTAATGCCTGCCTGGCTGGTGTTCAGGGCCTCCAGCAGGCACGGGCGGGGGGTGACTCTTGACCAGGGAGGTGGAGGCTAAGTAGGATCTCCCCGGGTGGACGGGCGTGGGACAGGGAACAGAGTAACACGGAGGAATGGATTGTGAGGTATCACTTCTAAATCTGATACTCGCAGGAACTTTGTGCGTGCCGTGTTGTCTCACTGACTGCAAAAAACTGCAGCACCTCAACACCGGAGGTCAAGAGTACAGGTTACTGCATATCTTCCTTCTGTTTGCCACTTACCTGGTGGAGAGATGAGTAATTCCAGCTCCCATGAGTATAATGGAGATATCAGAATGTGTGGCAGACCTCATCTGCAGACCTTTATGCACAGGGCCAAAGTAGAGAAACAGTATTCAGCAGAAGAAACTGTCGCTGGGCAGTGATTTCATGGTGATCCACACATCAGATTCTGCCGTGCTGCTGGAAAGACGCAAGAGGAGAGGAGTGGGGTGTTGGAGGGCAGGATGCCCACAGGACACCAGAGTTTCATTCTTGGGACAAAGAGGCATGTGTAGTGATCTTACGAGTCTAAATGCCTGACTCTGTCTCTGGTAATAAGAGGTTTTCATAAGGAGAAAGGGTAAGAATATAAAAACTACCTTATTACAAAAGCATTCCATTGTCCCTTTGGCTTCATGTGGCCATTGATGATCCTGGGTAGGTGATTTAATGTTCATTATTTAGTATTGATTTCACAGATAAAGCTGGTCCTTTTATTGATCTAGATTTGAGCGTTGCACCCTCCTCTCCATTCCCAGGGACTGGCAGTGAAAAGCTGGGGGCAGTAGATCTGATGGTGCGATATTTGCAGATAGAATCTGCCCTGGCATGTTTGTGCAGAGCTTCCACTGAAGAGGTCTGGGGCTCCCTGAGTCAAGACCAGACTTGGCTCTGGCTTCCTTTGTTGCAGGAGGAAATGCGAGCCAGGCACAGCCAGGGCTGCCTGAAGACTGCACCCCCACTCTCACCCACATGTGAATCCTTGGAAGTTGGGAAACAGGCGTGCTGTTTCCTGGCCCTTGGCCTGTAAGTGGCTTTTCAGGCCCCAGCTTGCCTCTGAACCCTCTCAGGAAAGACTCAGATAGCCTGAGAATTGGGACCAACTCAGCACTTCTGGGAAACAAGTATTTCTTTCTTCCCTCTAATAAAGCTCCAGAGTAGACATGTCTGTGAGCACTGTCTGCCCACCTGAGGGCAGAGTTTGGTGCTGGATCTCAGCCAGGTGTGGTGGGGCAGGCTGAGGCAAGGGCATCACCAGTTCAGGACTAGTCCGGGCAATTTAGTGAGATCTTGCCTCAAAAGGAAAAAAAAAAGAATGGTTCTGGGTTGTATTGTTGAAGTTACATGCGTAGTACAGAATGATCATTGACTTATTAATGTATACTTTCCATTAACTAGTAACATAGATCTCTTTCTTGCTTTTGATGCACACTTCTTTTTTGAAACACAAAATCACTTAATCCCCCACTATATCTATTTCTCTGATTCTTAGAATTTGTGGTCAAAGAGAGTTAGATGACTTTTTTGAAAATGGAGACGAGTGGAAAGCTATTTTTCTTCTTTCTTTTGTCTGTTGGAGACAGGGTCTTGCTATGCAGTTCAGGCTGGCCTTGAACTCACTATGTAGCCCGGGCTGGCCTTGAACTCTTGGTGATCCTCCTGTTTCAGCCTTGGTGATCCTCCTGTTTGAGTCCTGGGATTACAGAAGTACACGCCCCCCCCCCCCCAGTGGAAAGTTGTTTTTCTTCTGGAACCTAAAATTTCTTCATTCCCTGAATACTACCTTTTATTGATTTGTCATATGTCAAGCTAAAATGGTTAATTTAAAATCTCCGAGTTTGTTAGATTCTCGGCATACGCATTGGCTCTGTAGTTGTTCTCAGCATCTGGGACTGAGGGGCAGGAGACCCATGGACAGTGGTGTGTTGTTCCGTGCTGCGTCTTCCCAGGCCCTTCTGGAGCCCTGTCTTCGCCCACCAGCCTCACTGCCCAGTGTTCTCAGCGCTGCTGAAGCCTTGAGTCTGAGGGAGCATGGTCAGGTGCGGCGAGGGCTGCTTCGCAAGGGTGCTAGCTCCTAGTTTCCTGGCGTGGATTTGACCCCTGTGTTGGGTGGGCCCACGGGGCCGGCCATCTTGTAGGATGTGACTGCTGTGCCTGCACTCTCACCCCATCTGCGATGCTCATAGCACTGAGACACTGGCCCTCACAGAGACACATTTTAGGGGTAGAAGGAAAAAGAGATGGATGTTTAATTGCAGGCCTTACCCTGTGCATATTGTGCCAGGAACACAGCAGACGAAAACGACTGAAGTCAGACGTTGCCAAAACCCAGCCTAGTTATGGAGGCCTCGTTTCCAAAGGGGCACAAGGTAATGGTTATTGCTGTTAGTACTGGAATGATGGCCGAGAATCCCCAGAAAGAGCTGTTGTGTTTTTCTTTCCTTTTGGTTACTTACTTTGCTTCTCTTTCCTCCCAGCTTCCCTAAAACTTAATTAAAGGGCAGACTGTGGGCTGTGGAGTGGTTGGTCTCAGAAGCCATCAGGGGATAGACAGACATTGGAAGGGGGAAGACGGAGCATTTACAGTTACTGCAGCCTTTGGGTGTTTTGTGAGCAGAACGAGGGTGGCTTGATTGGTCAGGCTGCGGCGTGGACTGCAGGCCTTTCTCTGGTCTTGGCGATGCGTGAGCTGTGCAGGTGATAGTGCTCAGGAAGAAGTCCACACCCAGAGCTTGGGACAGCTGAGATTTTCCTGGGATTCTGTCTGCTCATTTGCTGTATGAGAGTGCCACTGGAAGAAGCTGTGCCATGTTTTTTGCCTGTTTGCAGTTCTGTTTCTGGGACACTGAAGACTTCCCTCAGGGCCTAGCCTGAGGCCTCCCTGTAGCTGGGCTGGAGGGAGGGTGGGAGTTGCAAAGGCAAACTTGATCTTCCCTCTGTGTACTAAATCCAGAATCTATACAGGCCCTCATGGTTTCCTATCAGAGCCAGGTGTCCATCTTTCCCTTCTTTTCTGACAAATGTTAGAGACCTCCTTGTGTCTGGACATGACAGTTCTGAAGATGATGTGGCTTCTGCTAGGAAGGAGCATACAATCAGAAATAAAAGAGCTTTGAAGTTCTTAGTGTAAGTCTGGTCTGACTTCCCACCCTTTAGGAATCCTTGTTTGTGTTCCTGAAGGGAGGAGCTTGTTCATTTTTCACATGAATATTTTCAGAGAAGAGAAGCTCACCACTGGGCATACTACACTTCTGGAAAATGTAGTTAGCAAATTCTTCCTCGTATAGAATCACAGTCTGCATCTCTTTAATTTCCCATTTTTAGTCACAGCTCTGTCCTCTACCACTACACTATAGGATACTAATATTTATCCACCACTACAGCTATCATTTTGCACAGGAAATACCTGTGCTCATAGCCTAAGCACATGTGCTAGTTCTCAGTTATTTTGTCCTTTGATATAGTAAAATGTGCTGTGGTAGGGGCACTGGAGGTTCCTGCCTCTCACACTGTGCAGAGGGAAGTTCTTTCAGTGGAGGAGAAGAATCCTCGGTCAGGTACACTGTTAAAGATCAGTTAGTCAGTATTTTGGTCCGGGGTAGGGTCAGGACAGGAATGTCTGCCATCAAGGAGTGAGCAGACAGGTCAGACACAAAATATACATGCACGTCAGAATTCCAGTGAGGTAAGTACAACAGAACAAAATACTGCGAGCTCGTTCTCTGGGGAGATTGCTGAGCGTCTGTGGTTGAGGAAGGCTCCCAGGGGAACTGAGCCTGCGTACTTGCCTCAGGGCGATGCCTCCTGCCTGGCTTATGGTATCTTCAACCTTCTTAGTGACTAGAAGATTCCCTGGGGCCTTGAAGGAAACTGCCCCTGTGCCATGCCCATCGGTCTGAAAATAAAGGCACTGTTTTATTGATAAAATTAGCATAGAATGTTATTTGTTTGGGAGCAGCTCTTTTGGAAACCAAGTTACAACGAAGGAACATTATTTGCTGTAGCTCTGTGAGCAGGGTTCAGGACATGCTGTTCTCTGTGCCACCACAGTACCCACAATTCGTGGTATCTGTGGAAGAAACAGAAAGGCCTTGTTGAAGTGAGGGGAACATGGCAGAGCCAGCTCTGGTATAAGGAGACCTCCGGGAAGATAGTGTAATACCAAAAGAAGTCTTGGTTCTGGGGTTCCACCTCCCCTGGCTGCCGCTAAGCAGAAGCCTTAGTGCTCTGCAAACTTTTCACTGGCTTCTTCCCAGTCTCTCTTGGCTCCCTGGTAACCTCTGGGGGACCAGACATGACTCTGCTTCTTTAAGTCTTTTTTTTCCTAGCACCTAAGACATTGCTGGCTTTGCTTTCTCTGTGTTCTGCCCTACCTGCCCCTCCTTGTGGATGCACCCTTTGCCCTGCTGATCATCTGTTGCTCTCCCTAACTGGTCTCTTACTTTCTTACTGTCCACCATCCATTGGCTGATGGCGCTGCAGCTGCCTCCTGGCTTTCGGAGGTGTGTCTCCACTTGCTAATTAGACCTCTGTGGTGCAGGGTCTGGGAATCTACAAGGAGAGGCTGGCTGGCTTTGGTGAACCAGTTTCTCCTACCATCGTTTATCCTGGTTAAGTCACATTACCCTATCCTCTAAGCTATAAATGTCTCTGTTATCCTTGATTTCTTTCTCCCCTATCTTGACCCATATACAAAGAATTGGCTCTTATTGGAACTGCTTTTCTCCTGCTTCCCCCTCTATTACCACCTCCAACTCCACTCCCACCTCTTTGAGACCTATAGCTCGCCCTTGTCCAATCCTTTCTATTGCTGTAATTCCCCTTGCCTGTAAGTTTAGGGTGCTTCCCCTGGCCCTGGCTCTTGCCCCTTCTGCCTTGCTCTCGTCCCTGGACTCTCGTGACTGGTCTGCTTAGGATGACAAAGCCCTTTGGTCTTTCTCCTCTGGCAAACTCCCATTTGTTGTTTGTTTGTTTGTTTCTTATTTATTCAGTTATAGAATTAAAAAAGAGAACAAAGACCAAAATAAAAACAGTAAGAATGATACAGGTTTTCAGAATAAAATGATAGGGATTAACAGTGGCTATTATACTACATATTTTTATCTTCATTGAAGTTGGTCAGCTTACCAGATGTAAGAATGCAAGATTGATCAAACCATTAAAAAGAATAAAAAATAAAAACAAAAAAATTATAAATGATACAGAGTTTCACTAAACAAGATGATAGGAATTCAACAGTGGTTGTTATGTTGCATATTGTTGTCTTTAAATTATAATTCAAATTAGTTGTTCAGATTATCAGATATAAGCATACAAAATTGGTCAACAAAAGCATTTATTCTAAATGCCATTTTCTCTGAAATCTTTTCTAAAGAAACCCCTTCTCCCTCTGAAAAATTCTTATCTCTGGGCTGTCATGACATTGCACTGCTATACTCACCATACTGCATTGTAGAAGCACACAGCCCAGGCACATGCCAGCTGATATTGTAAGCTCCTGTGTAGGCATTATCTTACTTATTTCTGCATCCTGGGACTCAGAAGAAACTCTGCAAACTGTAAGCAAATAGTGAATATTTATTAGGACTTGTGTTATTTATTATAGGAGTCTTGGAAGGGACTTTCTGATCTGCTCAATTGGAGTTCAGAAAAGAGGGTACCTTGCTCCTAGTGACTTTCTTTTCCCGCAGAGGGATAAAATGCATGGCTCTGGTCTCCTCCCATTCTAACTTAACAGATCACTGAGTTTCCATCCAGTTTTGCAAGCTCTCACCCAATTTTTACCCTTTCTCCTGCATTATGTTACACAATAATGAAGAGGGGATTATTGTTCTCCACTTCAAATACTGTAACTTTTGTAACAGTTCTAGCTACTTGTTATAGATTCATATGTGCCATACATTAAAAGCTCCCCTGGTTACTGTTGTCAGTTTGGTGAAATACAAAAAAAGTTTTAATCCAGCAATAGCTCTCATTTCCTGTAAAGAAGTTTCCTGTGGTACATTTGTTTTCGCATAGGTACAAGTCCATTAGTCCTTTATATGGGCAATTTTTTTAGACAAGGGGTAAAGTTGCTCAGTCACAAGGCCTTTTCTCAAGTGGGGACAGGTAGAAGGGTCTTTACAAGAGCACTATGCTCAGAGTCTGGAAGTTTAGGTTTTGTTATAGTGCTTTAGTTGTTCTATACTTAAATATTTTCCTTATATTAAATGGGATTAATGATAACAGTTACAAATGGCCATACAAAATATAAGAGACTTAACTTGTGTTTCAGCTCACTCCTTACTGATACTGGTTCAGAAGGAGTTTTACAGGGTGACCTGTCTGGCAAGACCTACAAACCTTACTTACAGAATTCTAATGCAGGCCTTAGAGGGCAGAAGCAGGAATGGAACAGATCCCACAATTCTGAATATTACCAAATCCATGTTACTGAGTCACTGGCGCGAATGCACACTAATTCCAGTTCTTTCCTACAGTTTGAAAAAGAACTTCAAAGAATTTCAGAAGCCTATGAGAGTCTGGTCAAGTCCACCACCAAGCGCGAGTCGCTGGACAAGGCAATGCGAAACAAACTGGAAGGCGAGATCAGAAGACTTCATGATTTCAACAGAGACCTCCGAGGCAAGTTCTTCTCACATTTTTTCTTTCTACACTGCCCAGGTGCTAACAGCCCAGTTCAGGGCCACGTTGCTTTGCCACAGATACTGTTCTCCCTGCATTAGATTATCTTTAAATTTTAGCCACCGAGGCGGGGGAGATGCTCAAAGAACAGAATCCTTCTCTGGTCTTGTGGCGGGTAGGGAGCAGCGTGGAGCCTTAGAAATGGCAGTCTGCACGCACGAGGCTGGGGAAGGAAGGGACTGTGCAGCTCTCTGAGTGCTTTCAAAGTACTCAGAGGTAATCCATGGCTGTGTGGGTGGGGGTGTTTAAAATGACCAGGGCTAGCTGTATAACCCTTTGCCCGGGAAGCTGAGATATTGATCACGTTCTTTAGAAGACAGCATCTGACTTGCTAGGTATAACAGGAAACAGAACTAGACATATGTTTTTGGAGGAAGAAAAGCCTACAGATGTGAAGACAGTAGATATAGCTCCTCCTTGAAAGATAGGAGCCACCTGCTATGGAATCTTGGCCACCTCTGGTGTGTGTGATTATTTAAAACGTAAAGCTTTACTTCACTTTCAGTCAGGCAAGCCACTTTTCAGTCAACTTGTATGCCCAAACACTCAGTGTATTAGTGGTCCCCAGTAGCTAGATACTACTTTTTCTCTTACTATAGGCCCTGTTGTTTTGAGTATCTTATACATCCAATAAATACTTGGTGAGCCAGATTACTTAATTGGATAAATGAAGATATATCATTTGGTTTGAACAAACAACTTACTGTGTATCATCTTTATGCATAGGCCATTTTGACCTTTTCTGGTAGATATTTGTTATTTTTATTTATTTTTGATGTTGAGATTCATTTAGCAGTCACTGGCTAAAATGTAGGGCTGATGGTCAGGGTTACACTAGGGCTGAATTTCAGGTTACAAAGACTTAGGGAAAACACTGAATCAGAGGTTTGCTGGCCTTAGAAGGAGTGAAGCAGTTTTTATCACAACCTGTCCCTCGCTGCCTGCTGCTGGTGCATACACTTTGGATTAGACTGCATAACACACAGTGTAGGGCTAGGGATGTAGCTCAGTGGCACAGCATCTGTCTGGCAAGCATGAGGCCCTGAGTTTGATTCCTGGTACTGAAACAACAGTAACAGCCCCACAGTGTAGCGCCTGAAGGCCTTTCTTTTGATATTTGAGGTTGCAGTTATAGTAGTTTCTCTCCCAAAATTGTTTATTTTGGGGCTTCTGACTGAGCATTTCTTCATACCCATTGGCGTTGCTTCATTTTGCCATTGGATGGTGACTTACGTCCATATGCACTTATTTTAAATCACTTCTACTTATTCATAGATCGACTAGAGACAGCCAACAGACAGCTGTGCAGCAGGGAGTACGAGGGGCACGAAGACGAAGCCTCAGACGGTCACTATGCTTCCCAGAGTGAGTCTCTACGTTATTTGCTACAAAGCTGTATTTTTAATAATTATAAATAGGGTTTGTGTTGTTTACTTTCTGTGTGCTAATTTAGCCTCAGGTGAGGCTCTCCTGGGGTTGTTAGGGACAAAGCCAAGGCTGACGTGTATCATTTCAGTGATGCTGATTCTGTCCTTCTGACCTGCAGTTACTCTCTGTCTAAAATCACCTACCAGGAATAGCAACATCATAGTATTTCTTGGCATGCACCACTTCAAGAAGACACACTCTTTTCCTTAGGAAAGAGAGGGAGACCAAGTAGTCTTGGTTCTCTGGCTAGGTTCTGTGCGCCGTTAAGGCTTGGGGTTTAAGACTGGCTGCACCTACCAACATGGGACCCATTTAAATGTCCACGCTGTACATCTCCATATATACTGCTTTTTTCTAGAAACCACTACCCTAATCCCATTTTAGTCAAGAATAATAAACAGTCCCTTTGTAAACCAGATTTTTAGGCAGATATTTTATTATTTTCCAGAGGCAAATAATAAAATCAGATAGGTTTTGACAAACCATTGGTCAAGGTTTGAATTTCTGAAAATTCTTTGAGCAAGCCAGAAATTTAAAAATTTTACCGTCTTTTTCTTTCTTTTTTTTTTTTTTTTTTTTTTTGGTACTGGGAATTGAACACAGCACTCTGCACTTGCTAAGCACTATGCTACTGAGCTAAATCCCCAGCCCTGTCTTATTTTTAAAGGTGTTTAGGAAATTAGATTCACAGCTATATCATAATTCTCAACAATGTTACGTGTATGTAAGTATTCATGAAGTACAGACAGTTAAAAGAACAAACGTTACATATTCAGGTACTTCCCATTCATTTTATGACTGTGATATTCTGATATGTGGCTTGTCAAGTGCAGCCCTACATAATGGCTAGGAAATGGCAAAATTTAAAATTTTCAGTACTGTTTTGTTGGGTTTAACTTCGTTTCCCCCAAGTTTGCTTCTGACTGCATTCTACTCTGTTGTTACTTCATTTTAAATTCATTTTTATTTTTCTAATGTATTGTCTTATTTTTTTTTTAATGGAATTTTCTTATTTTGTGTTCATTTATTTATTTTTGTCTCTTTTTTTGAGACAGGGTCTTGTTATGCAGTTCAGGCTGGCCTCGCGCTCACAATAATCCTCCTGCCTCAGCCTCCCAAGTGCTAGGATTACAGGCATGCACCACCACACCTGGCAAATGTACTGTTTTAGTGTTTATTAGTTTTGCAAAATGTTGGGTTTCATTGTGGTATTTTTATACATGTTTTGATCATCCCCCTCTCTCCATTTTAAACTCTGTTTTTGGCAAATGAACACTATCTGGGGCTTTTCCCCAGGTTCTTCTACTTTTCTTTTTTTTTTTTCCTGGTGCTGGGTAATGAACCTAGGGCCTTGTGCACGCAAGGCAAGAGCTGTACCACTGAGCTACATCCCCAGCCCTCCCCAGATTCTTTTGTAGTTTTGTAGTAAGTTGATTGACCCATCTTCCAGATTCACATAAAAGGCTATATCAAAACTTTGAATTGTTTGCTCCTTTAACGAATACATATCTTTTCTTATGGATGTGATAAATTTGCCATTTCTTTTGAAAGCTTTCATTTGAAAGATGATTTACCTGTAGAGTTTTGACACCTCTTTGGATGATTGTCCTGAGCAGAGTAAGGCGTGTTAGCAATGCTAGGTTTGTGCATTCTGCGGATAGGTATTGTGCGCTGTGCAGAGATACTTCTTGCTAGGGTGTAAGTTGACTGAGTCAAAGTGGGAAAGCCAATCAATCCATTTTACCTCTTTGGCATTTGTTCTGGCCCATTGGTCAGGCCCTGGTGCTGACAGAATAATAGGGTTTGGTGGTGGGTGAGCTCAGACACATTACTGAAGACTTTAAGCTTCTAGCTCAGAGCTGAAACATCAATAAGCAACCAGCTTTATAGGAATTGATTCATTCTGTGCTGCACTGTGTTTCAGAGGCATAAACAAGAACAGAGACATCCACCAAATGCTTAGCTATATGCAAGTGTTGGTGAGTGGTGTAACTGAGTCTAGGCAGGGTCTTGGAGCAGGTTTGGTAGGAAGTGGTGTAACTGAATCTAGGCAGGGTCTTGGAGCAGGTTTGGTAGGAAGTGGTAGCCACCGATTTTCCCATACTTCATCTTTACAAGATAGGGTGCCTTCCTTGTTGGATTATAATTATTTGCATTAGCCCTGCTACTCTGCTCTGACCAGAGGTTGGACTCAAAATGTTATTTCAAATCTAGATAGGTGTTTTCTTAGTGAGTTTAAGACCCCTTTGTATATTAAGGAAATTAGTTTGTTGGCCCTCCCCGTGTTTGTTGCAGATATTTTCCCCAGTGTTTTTAATCTTTGTAGTGTTATACATGACTTTTAAAGTGAGCATATTTATGCCTTCTGTATTTTATGTCATGTTCAGGGATATTTTTTATAATCTAAAATTAGAATACTACTCATTAAGGAGTTCTTCAAATAGGAGTATGATTTCACTATTTACACAGCTTATATTTTAGAAACTAGCTTGATAAGCAGAGTAGATCACAAGTTCATGAGAGATTAATCTAGAAACAAGACTAGTTAGTAAGATTTTTAATATCTGGGCAAGATCTGTAGAGGTCCTGAGGCAAGACAGTACAAGTAGCAAAGGAAAGTAGGGACAGATAAGAAGTGACACATGAGAGAGAGAGAGAACTACAGCAACTAGATGGACGGTCAGGCTTTACCAATAAAAAACAGGACAGCAAGGTTGGGATTAGATGTTGGGTTAAAGTTCAAGCTGTTGAGTCCTTTTGCCTGCAGGCCTTAGCTCAGGGAGCAGATGTAACAAAGGTGCAGAGATACTTTGGAGGCAGGATGGAAGGTGTCTGTCAGGTTTTCATGTTAGCCTGTGGGTGCAGAACAGCAGGCATGAATTACTATCTCTCTTCGTAGTTATTAATGTGCTACATTATCTGAGTATTCTTTCAGAATCCCTATTATTAGAACAGAGTTTGTCAAACTCCTAGTAATCATAATCATAACTGTCGAGCCCCC